AGTTAGGGAGAAGGTTTCTAGCCTTCCTCCTAGCATCTAGCCTTCTATACACAGGTAGTTCGTGTGTGTGTGTGTGTGTGTGTGTGTGTGTGTGTGTGTGTGTTGTGTAGGAACGTTTATTCATTAGCTTCACTGTGACATGGCTTACCACCCCTGTTAAATAGCACTGAGAGGTTATGAGCACTTCATATGTTTGCTTGCCCTACAATAAAGGAAAGTAAGTACCCTGCACGTACGGGCAGTCTGCCAGACTCTAGGGTTGTGGCCCATCTACTCAAGAGCCGGGCCAGCGTTTACTTCCGGTCCGGGCCAGGCATCGCTGCTCTGGCGGCCAGATGGTTACCTCCGCTGAAGCGTCCCTATTATCTACTTCACCGGAGTCTTTCGACTCTAGGTTGGCAGGGCTGACTACCAACGGGAGCGCACCCGCCCGGGGATTCGAACGCGCCCTCATTCAATACACACTGACAAAAAAAGCCAAACATTATCTGGAAAATACAGTGGTTCCATGAATCATTGTATGCGAAGACGTTTCTGTGGGATCCAAATGTTATGGAACAGTTTCAGAAGATGTCAACATCCTTCGCTCAAATGGAGCCAAGCAGGTTCTGCTACAAATCCCTGACACAAATTCAAAAGGCATGACCCTAATCTGTTTCCCTCGCCAACTGTTTCTGCTGGAAGATGTCCAACTGAAAGAAACACGCACACGAGGACCACTCAAGGGCAGGAAGCCATGTTAGAATTTTATTCCACTTTTGACATCATGGTCAGGGAGTGGACTGGAGGTTAACAAGCTTCAAGTGATCTACTAATTCCCATGCATGTATTGCTTACTTGGCTGCTCATAACTTCTGCCAATTAAATGAATGTCTTGGTGCCAGTCCCAGTTCTCAAAGAACGTCTTGCTTGCTCAGAAGACTGTCAACAATTCCTGAGATTACTTTATCCCCTCTGATATAAATTCATCTTTATTCACAATGGGCTGGATCCAATGCTTGTTTCTGTTCCTCCAACAGGAGGAGTCCTCCTCCTCTGACTGAATGACTCTTTCTAGCAACGGAAGGTCTGCTCCACTGGAGGAAGGGAATATTTGGATCCCAGTATTATCTAGCAGAGCAGGACAGGGCTCTCTGGTCTCATATGTTGTTGGACTCCAACTCCCATCATCCCCAGACAGCTTAGCCGATGGCAAGGGATGATGAGAGTTGTAGTTCAACAAAACCTGTGGCCCCACAATGGAAGAACACTGGACTAGGAGTAGCAAAGTCTCAGGAAGAGACCTCTTGTTTCCTTGAGCAAGACCATTGGCACCAACAGGAGTCTCCCCTCCTCCACCTTAATACTAATTGCTGCACAGGGTAGGGATATTTCCCCAGATCACAGCTGGGAAGTGAAGATTTCAGCTACCCCTCCCCACATGGTGCAGGGCTGATCACAATCGTGCTGCCGGGGTCTGGTATTCAAAGTAGTGCCCTACAGAAGTTGCTGGACTGCCACTCCCATTATCCCTGACCACGCAATAACATCTGTAAGGCACACATTCAGCACCTTGCCCTAAATGATGGCCAATCAAGGTGAGGCAGTGAGCTAGGTGGGTTGTTTTTTTTATGATACGCTGGTTGTGTGTTTCAACCTGGTCTGGAGAGACTCAGATTCCTATTCATTAATGAACCAAACGGCCCTTGTGAGCCACTGACTCCCATGTTTCTCTCCCCGCCCCATATCACCTGTCATGTGAAATTAGTTAAATTTACTTTGTATTATGTGGATGAGTGATTTTTGTACTGGAATTGGAAGTGGGCACAAGCTACTCCTACAGAGTTGCTAGTAGATGATGTTGTGCATCAAATCTGAGAATATACTAATATTGCCTCACACAGCAACTCCATATTAAAGATAGGTTAAACATTTCCAAATTCACTATTATTATTTGTTTGTGAAGGCAAAACTCTCTAGCAAAATACAGACAAAACCAGTATCTATTTTGTCCCTGGGGTATTCAGACTGTTGCTGAAATTAACAAAAAAACGGCCACTTGAAAATACATAACTTTTTATCTCTCTCTCTCAGATGTGCATGTCTGTTTGTGCGTAGGAAACTTTGTAAATTTTTAATGTTTATTATGTGGCAACCCCAGTCAGATGGTATAAATAGAATAATAATAATAATAATAATAATAATAATAATAATAATAATAATTGATTAGGACATCCCTATTTTAATTGGAGAATGTTGGAGGGCTTGTAGGAAGTGTATGATAACATTCACATGATGTAAGCTCCCTGTAAACAAATCAAAATGAATCCTCATTAAATAGGTGGCAATGTCTAGTCTCCCTGCAAATGAATCAGGATGAATGCTGAATAAATAGGTTGTCTGGAAGGGATCTTTGACGCTCTACAGGCTGTTCCTCCCTTTCCATGAACACCTGTACACTTTGCTAGATTCCTGGAAGACTCCACCATAGTACTTTATACCTTTATAAAGCACCCTCAGCAAATATTAGCTTCATTCGCACAGCATTATGTAATAATGGCTGTTTGGGATTTAAATGAGCTCCTCTTCTTCCTTACCTTTCACTCGATAACAAGAGATGTTTGAGGGACTGACAAGTGTGTAGGTTTCTATCCGAAGTCTCTGCACCATGTTTTGTAACAGAATCACAAGATATAGATGTAGAACACCTCTTTCTCTGCTCTGCATGTTGCTTCAACCTTTATTTGGAGGGAAAGTGTCAGGCAGTGAATCCTGCTAGCTCTTAATAAGCGCTCCCTTCCATTTGCCAGAGACTGGCACTCAATTTCTGCTGCTTGCACTTGTTCAAATACTGGCTACATGGATTAAGTCTTGTTTTCTGAAAGCCAGTTCCCTTGCCTGCTGGTGCACTCACCCATTGCTTATATATATATATATAAAACCCCACAGGGACTTAGAACTGGGAAAAGAAGAAGAGGTCTTTATAACCTGATCCCCTCTCCCTGCAAGAAATAAAATGCTGCACTTTTCTGATTGCAATTTAGCTGCAGGCAATGGATTAGCAGCATGTGGGAGGCCTACTTAGAGCCAATGGTAATTTGATTGCTGTGTCC